AGAAAACCTGCATCCTTTACTTCAGTAGAAAATAAGCACACGACCTTCCAGAGGCATTTTGGTGTTTAGAAGGCTCCTGATCTGGTCACCTTTGTCACCTTTTTGTTCTGCCTATATCAAAAAATATCAATACATAACCCAAACTAATAGAAATTGTAATTTGCAAATGTTTTCAGCAGCTTTCACCTTGGGAAGTCAATGACTTTTATTGTCTTTTCACCCAGCTTGGGAGTTATGTGCCATTTTCACAGTGGTACATGGTCAGCTCCTAAAGAATTTCCCAGGACAGTCTCCCCAGAAATGACACCGAAGGGCTTTCCACACATAAAGATGTAGCATCATTTCCCCTCTCATTAACTCTTCTCTTGTCATCTTATTCTGATTGATTAGGGATAAAATCTAAACCCAGGCAGGAGGAAAAAAAGCCACACATGGCTTCCCAAATCCAATTAACCCTGAATTCATAAATCCCACTGTCCACCCATGGCATCTCTAGTGCAGCATACATGAGGCTTGGGGTTCTTACAGAATCAATTAATCAATTAATTAGTATAACAAAGTACTTGAGTGCTTGCCTGAGTGTTTTTAATGGGATCAGTAATAGACTATTTTCAATTTCTTGGGACAACAAAGCTTGTTGATGAGCACTGAAGTCCTGCAACTCCCAGAGTAGCAACAAGCCAAACATTTTGGTTCAAAAATATGAGCACAGGCTACAATTCCCTCTTAAACTTTTTAATACCTGGATAAATTCTTTATTTCTAGAGGATTTTAATTAGGATTTAATTAGGAACCCTTAATCCTGGTATCAACACAGGATGGGTTTTGTGTCATTGACAAAACTTATGTACATTTTCTCTGTCTTATATGTCTTGTAGTAATGATCTTTTGGGGGTGTAGCAGGTGGTGATCTAGACATTCTGAGTGGTTGGAAAATTCAGTAGGAGCTACTCATATTTATTACTTGGGTTTGTGAATGAAAGCATTTTCCAAATGGGGAGCATATGGCAATGCTCAGTAACTGCCTATTATCATTTGTATTATATTATGTATTATGTAGTATTTTTTTCCTGCAAATCCAAGAACTAAAAATATGCTCATTTCTGATCTGGCTACTGAGTTTCATCCAGTGGTTCCTTTGACTAATGTGGCTTTTTTTTTTATAGATTCTGACTATCTAAGCTGTACAGTACAAAGAAGAAAAAAAGCACAGACTTTCTTTCTGTAGATTTCCATTGCCAGGTAGTATCACCTCTGTCTGGAAAAAAACAAAACAAAACAACACAAAACCAAACCAAACCAAACCAAACCAAAAAATACAACAGCAACAAAACCAACCAAACAAACAAAAAACAACCCCCCCAAAACACAAAAAACCAAACAAAAAACAAAACAAAACAAACAAACAAAAACAGAAAAAAAAAGAAAAAAGGGAAAAAAGAAAAAAAAAGGGGGAAAAGAACAAAGCAGAGAAAATTGTCCAGCTGGGAGAGCAGATCACTATGTCAGGGCCATCTCCAGGTCTTTCTATGCCCTACTGAAATGTAACATCACAGCTTGACATGTTTTTCTTCTTTCTTCCTTTGCAAAGATCCCTTAGAATGCTTTAAATGTCCCTTTTCCTGGAATGGGTGTCTCTGGAGCCAGGGCTGGGAAGGCACTTGAGAAACAGTGACACACAACAGAGAGATCATGGGAGTTACAGCTCCTGGGGAAAATAAGGCTTGTGGGCATCAGTCAAAGAAATCAATGCTGAAGAGGGAAAGAAATTAATATCTAGGAACCATCTAGAAGGAAATCATTGTAAATCCCTAAATTTCTAGAGGAGAAAAGGCTCAGGAACTAATATGCTTTTTCCACATGGGGAGATTTTGAGAACGATATTTTCGTTCACAGTTTGCATTTGAAAGGAATGAATGAAAAATTCTGGTGAGCTGGGAGGATCAGAGAGGTGAAATGGAATTTTAGGAGGGTTGCCAAAGACACAGAATGGGATTGAACATTAGGCTTTCTGTGTGATGTTGACAGCAGCTCAACTGTTACTCCTTGGTTCAGTTGCAGTGAAGGTTAAAGCAGAACATATTAAAACCAGCAACAGCTGGCATTTTTAGCTAAATCCATAGCTAATTTTTTGAAAAAGCCTCTCTCCAGGTGACAGTTTAGTCAGTTAACTTTTATTGTGTAGACTCTTTTATTTTTTCCCATTTTACTGTAGGTGGAAATCAGACATCCAAGGAAAGGCAGCTAAGTTCCTTTCTGAAACGTATAAAATGAGCAGACCCCTCAAGTGACTTCACCCATCTCAAAACAAGCATCTGAGAGGGGTCAGAGGAAACATCTTCTACAAGTTCCTATTGATTTCTATTCACTGAATCTGAAATCCATGTGTTCACTTCAGACTTTCATACATAATTTTTAAATACCCAAAGCCAAGTGAGATACCTTCTCCCCACTCTTTAACACATCCTATGATTTCCCTTTTATTACACTGCACCCACAGGTGCTTCATAGGACAAAAGTATAATTTAAAGTTATTGCTGCAGTTTGTAAAAATGATTTATGGTCATATAAAAATTTGCTGTATTAAGAACAATTTTACTATTAATAAATATTACTGTTGGTACCCAGCCTAGTTCCACATTCTAGAAACACAGCAGCAGCCAGAGGACACTGTAACAATCCCCAAAATGTGATTAGCCATGTCTTAGGAACATTAGAGTTCTCTAATAACCCTTTACTTAAGGAACCATCTTAAAGGTGGCCTTTTTTCATTAAACCCTCATTGAAACAAATAGACTTGGCTAATTAAAATTAGCAGCAATAACAGTGAAAGCTCCTGCTGATTCACCCAGGAGAGTGATTAGAGATGTCAATAATTCCACCTTGGGGTCACTGGTGTAAACCAAGCCCGGTCTGGAGAGATTTCCAACCGCTCCAGATTAAATGTTTATTTGTTTATTTAATGAATTACGAATCTTGGGTTTGTTCCTGCTGAACAGATGTCCCAAAACCCCTCAAACCCAGCCCTACATGAGGTAACAGCTGTCACTTTTATTAGTGATCCTTTGAGGAGAGAAATAAAGCAGGACATATGTTTACGCTGGATGGACTATTCCTCCCTCAGGGTCAGACTAAAACACTGCTACAGGTCAAATGTGAAGTTCAGTGTGTGAAGAGATCTGTAAATCCTAGGCAAATTACTTAAAAATATTATTTCAGCCCTTTATTTTACAGAGGTCTAGTTAGATGGGGCTTTTTGTTTTATGTATATATATTTAATTGCTTTTCTGAAGCCTGTATTATTTTTTTATTAAAAAAAATTATTTTCCATTAGAAAAAAATATTTTTCATTAACAGGTAACAGTTTAATTAAGATCTGCAATCAATCTATTAAGTTAATCTTGTTTGTGAGGTGGGACATGATCACACACTGGTGGAGTTTGCAGCCCTGAGTCTCAAGGGTCAAGTGAAGGGTAAAATCATGATTCCAAAATTTAGCACAGCAAAATTCCAGATGTTCAAGGAATTAATCAACAGGACCCCCTGGGAAACTGCCCTCAGGGACAAGGGAGAAGAACAGAAGTGGCAGATGTTTAAGGATGTTTTCTACAGAGCACAAGAGTAAGAAATAGGGCAACAAAGGCAAGAGATGGGCACGGCTGAGTCAGGACCTGCTGGTCAAACTAAAGGGCAAGAATGGAATGTACAGGCAGTGAAAAAAGGGACAGGGATCCTGGGAAGGGTGTAGGGATGCTGCCTGGTTGTGCAGAGATAACTTCTATTTTGTAGTCTCTTTCATTTTTTCCCATTTCACTGCAGATGGAAATCAGACATCCAACTCTAGGCAGTCAAACTCCTTTTTAAATCCATGGAAAACGAGCAGCCTCCTGCAGTGACCTCACCCATCTCAAAACAAGCATCTGAGAGGGGTCAGAGAAAGCACCTTCTACAAGTACCCACTGATTTCTATTCACTGAACCTGCAATCCATGTGATCACTTTTGACTTTCACATATAACTTTTAAATATCCAAAGTGTGACACCTCCTCCCCACCCTTTAAGATTAACTCATCCTATGATTTCCCTGTTGTTACACTGCACCCACAGGTGCTTCGTAGGACAAACTTTTTAGAAGTATAATTTGAAGTTATTGCTGAAGTTTGTAAAAAATGTGCAGGGATGGGGCCAGGAAGGCCAAGGCAAACCTGTGCCTGGATGAGCTGAAATGGGGGCATTTAAAAGTGAGGATTTCAGCATTCCTGGAGCTGTGCATGAAACACTGCCTCCCAAAAATTGTGCTCTGTGTGTGGCCACGCAGAGAAGGCAGATTTTGGACTCCAGACTGTAAATGAATAATTAATTGGCGAAATGATCTTTGGGAAAAAGGATCCTGGGGGACAGTGATGAACTTGTTCCTCAAAGGACAGTGCTAATTAAGCGATCTGCAGCAGCAAATGGACAAATGTGTGTTAATTATCAGGGGCACAAGGATGTTTCTACCTTGTTTCTACAGACCACAAAAAAGCATGATGGACCTTCTGCATCTCACCAGAAACCTTTAATTCCCACTGACTTCTCCCTTGACCCCCAGCCTGGGAGCTCCTCACACTGGTCATCTCAAGCCTGTGTCCTCCTTAAGCACAAGCAAAATCTGCTCTGAGTGTTAATTATTGACTAAAATAAGTTCAAATTGTTTTATCCAAGACCCAAACACAGATTCAGGTTTAGTGAGTTTAGTGAACATTCCCTTAGAAGTTACATTTGGTGATATTTTCATGTCACATAATCTGTGAAGGCTTTTTTCAAACATTCCCTCCCATCCCTGTGCACACACACTCACATCTACACAAAAATATCCTGCTTTTCTAGTTTCTTAACCAAAGCCCAACTGTAGTTTTTTTAATTTCTCTTCATACTGAGGATCTAAATGAGGGTTTACACTCGTGCTGGGCCACGAAACTTTACCAGACAGAGGCAGAGAACAAAGAAAAGATACTTTACCATCTTCAGAGATGATGAATCTGAACAGTGCAGGACACTTGACAAAGACAATTTCACCCACACTTGCAGGTTTCCAGCATGTAATGTTGTCCCACATTCCTGGGCAACCTAGAGGAGAGAAAGAGAGATAAAATACATTACATTAGTGGTGGAAGGAGGGATAAAATACATTAGTGGTGGAAGGAGGGATAAAATACATTAGTGGTGGAAATCCATTCCTTTCTTCACACTGCTATTGTGCTTTATAGTTGGTTCTTCCTTCTATACACAAAAAGGTGTTTGTTTAGAATAATAAACAGTATCAATTTCCCTGGAATAAAATAATTTTCTTTCACAGAAATAGCATAAAATAAGTAGTAGCACAGTAATGGCCAGACTCTGCTCTTGCAGAAGGATGGCATTCCTTAGCCTCAATTAAATCAACAAATTTTCCCTTGAGTATGAAATCTGCTGCCATTCAGCTATCTTTCAGAACTTCTGGATTAATTTTTTAAAACTATTTATGGATCATATCTTTGATTAAACTCTATGAATTCCTGTTGGCTCTAATCCTTGTCAAAGGTTGGGCACTGGCACATTTTGGAAATCGTCTGAAAATTGAAAAGCAGTTTCTGCTTCATCCTACAGCTATTTATGTGGATATGTGAGGGAAACTCACCTCTTTAATGCTGTTTATTTTCTAAAAATACATTGTGAAAAGTCCTTCCTTAGTGAAGAAGTGTCTTAACATCACTCATTATCTTTACTGCAGCCTTTGTTCTACAGAATATAAACTCACAATGTCAAAAGGAGGATTTTGACCTCTAGTGACAAACTGGCTTCCAAGAGGGATAAGTCCTCCTGTAATTCTTAAAACCACCATCTTACCAGCTCACAAACCTGGAAGGCTTATCCAGTTTATCCAGAGCAATCTCTAAAATCTCCTACAGATGTTTAAAAAAATGACTTAGTGAAGGAACCTCAAATGGGATCAACTTCTACCTCAGAAGGAAAAGAAAGAAAAACTGGATCTAAGCACCTCTGTTTATTTGCATTTGATGTTGAGATCAAGCACATAATCTTATCAACTGCTAAATGCCACCAGCTCCAGGATTTTATAAATCGTTTACCATTAATATGCTCTGTCTGACTATGTGCCAAGGAAAATAAGATTTCAGCAAAAATTACTTCCAAGTGTTACTTCCTGACTGGCACAAGTACAATATAATGAGCTATGGGTGATGAACTTGTAAAAACATCACAAGTGTGGGCTTTATCAGCTCTGGTGATAGTAGCAGATTTCCATCAGCGGAGGATGTTCGTTCACAGGACTGGAATTGGCATCTTTTTTCCGTCGTCTTCAGTGGCAGGGAATCAAATCCTCTGTTTCCTCACAAAAATATGAGCCATGAGTGGTGGGCAGAGCAGTTCTGAGGGATGTGGGGTTTGAAGAACCAGGTCGGTGCCAAACAAAGTTGTTCTGATGTGTAATAATGTGATAATGTTGTGATAATAACAACATGTTACACATTACGAGGGTGACAGATGCCAAAAAGTGGATAAATACTCTTTCAAACTAAAGGCTGCAGCATCAGATTGCATTATATGCATAATATAAATTGATAATCACATAAAATCCTGACCCTATTACGTAAAATCCCTCAGCTTTCAGACCCACCAAAATACAACATTACTGCAAAAAAAGCTCATTAAATCATGACAGGAGCTGAAAGAAAAAAGGAATCATTTACATTTGCCCCTACTCCTCTTTTTTTCCACCCTTACCCCATATTGTTTCCTTTGCCAGATGAGGATCCCATGATATGAGTGCTGTGATTCGCCAGAACGTTTCTAAAAGTCTCAAAGGCTGGGGTTTGAAAAGTTTGAAAGCTCTCAGGCACATGGTGGGATTATTGGGGTGTCCTGTGCAGGGCCAGGAGCTGGAATCGATGATCCTTGTGGGTCCCTTCCAGCTCAGGATATTCTATGATTTTGTGATCCTGTTTATGTACTAAAGATGGAAATCAAGATCATATTGAGTGCTATTAGAATTTATTGTCTGTAATGACAGTTTGTGTCTGTCCACGCACTAGGAATTATATTTTCCATGTAAATCTGAAGATGTTAGCAATAAGTTTACAGCTCTCTGATGTATGGCCCTCTGTGAAAAAGTAAATTATATGTAAATATCCATGTTAATGAGACATTTGCTTACAAGAGGTGCTGAAGACAATCAAAGTAGTTAATGAGATCTTTGGAGAACCACCTGTTAGCCTTGCTTAAATTAACTTCCTTATTTTGAATTATTATTTCAACATCATTTGTCTTCCAAACACTGGGATAGCAATGGATGCTGCAAACCAGCCCTGAGGAATGCAAGGAAATCCTCACACTGCAGAACAGGGAGTGCAGCCACAGTATAAATATCTCATAACAGTGTGTTTGAAATTCAGTTACACCAGGTGGCTGTTTTTGTAGCAACACCACGCAGAGATAAAAAATAGCCCCCTTTAAAAAGTCATTATAAGTTCATTGTGCTAGAAAACACTGATGTGCTGACACTGGGAGAGAGGGGGAAAGAAGCAGCAAGTCAAGTAATTTACCTTAGTCACTAAAATAGCTGAGTGATGGAGATTGTAAAGAATTCACCACCAATAAATTGTCTGATCCTGCCTGGAAAAGCAGGTTGGAAAAGTGCAATTTTAGAAGAGCAAAGAAAAGGATGACAAAAAAAAATGGAATTAAATGGAATAAAGGCCAGTGTGTACAATCTCTCTGCGTTTGTAAACCATGATAACAGCCAGAAACTCCTGCTGGGGGAAATCTGCCCACGGAAATCAATGTGACTTGAGTGTGAAACTGCCCAGCAGGGACCCCCCTGGCATGGACAGGGTGTCTCCACTGCCCTGTGACGTAGGGATGCCCGAGCAAGCTCTGGAAGAGGCAGCTCACACCCTGCAAGGAGAAAGGTACAGCTTCGAGTGGGCAATTTTCCTAATTTTTAGCATGTTAGAAATCAGTAATAATAATAATAATAATTAAAAAAAAATTTGAAGAATAAGATTTCACTGGGCCAGAATGAAAAAAGAATTATTACAAGTAGGGGTCTTGCTAACGGATGGTCTTGAAAACAAAGCAGAATCACAGAATCATTAAGGTTGGAAAAGCCCTCTCAGGTTATGAAGCCCAACCACTAACACAGCACTGCCAAGCCCAGCACTGAACCACGTCCCCAGGTGCCACATCCACATGTTTTTGAATGTTTCCAGGGATGGTGATCCCACCATTTCCCTGGGCAGCCTGTTCCAATGCCTGAACACCCTTTCAGTGAAAAAATTTTTCATAATATCCAATCTAAACCTCTCCTGGAGCAACTTTAGGCTGTTTCCAGAAAGCACAAATCTTGCCTTCCCTTCCCATCTATGCACTGCAACCTGCAGCCTGGAATTCAGTTTGGCAAACGAGGAATTCATCTCAGATAACATAAGTGGAGTACTAATGCTTGGTGTAAGTACTTATGTCCTCTTTGTAGTATGGGCAGAAAAGGGCTTCAGCTTGGGTAGTTAGCTCTTCTTTGATGGCTGGGTGATCCTTTGGGAGCCAATATTCCTTGCTGCTGACTTTTGAGGAAACACAAAATGATCTCTCAACCATAGGATTAGTCCAGATTGGTTTAACTTCAGCTGGCTAAGCCTTACCCTTTCGCCCTGTTCAGCCAAGCAAAGTTTCATCTGCAGTCCATGGAAAGAGTCTTTCTAGACAGGGATAATCCCATTTTAAGGTGGCAGTCCAGGGGAATCACCCTGTAAGGTGGAGTTGCATCTCTCCACTGACTACACTCAGTAGGAGGAGGTTAAGAACTAGATTAATATATACAGCTGCCTTTTCAATGGTTGAAGTCTGTATTCCTTACAGAGTCTGGTTGGTGTTTTGGAGTAGACGTGGACCAACTCTTCCCTCTGGGCACAGTGACTGCTTATGAAGACCCCCATGATCACTCCCTACATCTCTGTCTCAAGCTTCTTCTTGTAACAGTGAGGTAAAATTCATGTTTAAATTGTGAACTCCCTGTGATTGGATCCACCATGCACTTTTGCTTCAAAAACCAGCCTGATTTCAGCTGAAGCACAACGTGGATTTTATATGGATTTCACGACGTTCAAGTTTAAATTCAACACGGTTGAAGCTGAGGGAGGTGCCTCATATACCTAAGGATGGATCTGGCCTGGCAGCCACTGAAAAAGAACAGCTCTTTCAAATAAAAAGGTCATATTTCTTAACAAGGAGAAAACTTTTATATTTTTTTTATTTTATTTATGATTGCAGAATTTTCTGATGAATTTTTAAAACTAAACCTAACACCAAAACCATTCTAGTCACTCTACCTCCATGGAGATCCACACAAACCTTATTCTCATCTTTCTCTTACAATTAAGCCTCTTGGAGGAAAATACTCTCTCTCTAACCTGCTACTTCTGGCAGCTGAAAGGCTCCCTCTTGCCTGAAGTTTCTGGATAAGCACCAAGAGAAAAAAAAAACAAACAAAAAACCAACTCAAAGCAAGCCATGCTGGCAGAAGAGCAGTGATAAACAGCTCTGTTGAAATTGCTTGTGGTCCCTTATCTTCCTTTTCTTCTCTGTCTAGGGCTGTCTTGAGAGTCACAGTTTGATAGTGGGTAGATTAAAAAAAAAAAAGGTTTTAGGCAGCCACATAGTTGAAGTTCACTGAGCTCAAGGAATGGACCTCGTTTTAAGTCAACTGAGGATAAAGCCTGCTATCTTTCACCAACAGTCACTGTGTCACCAGGACTGTGTTCAAACACTTATTTTTTATAGATTTGTGTCCTGTTTTCTTATGGTGCCTCTACCACCATACCCTCATTTACACTCTGTATTTGAATCCTCTTTGCAGTCTCCACAACATCCTCCCGTGTCCTTATCCTGCCCTGGTGAAAAATGCTTCCTCTCATCTCTGTCAGATTTTTGGCAAGAGGAGATGCAAAAGCAGAGATGTGGGTTTTTGGATGTGTTTTTTTTTTGTGTGGTAACTCACTGCTCACTCCATCCCTGCTCCAAAGACAGTGGGTAACTCCTACCTGACTCCTTCTCAATGACAACCACTGCTTTGA